CTAACAGTCTGTGTACCCTCCAACCCCCAATCTTCCCCCAGTTAGCTGATGTGAAGAATGGGAAGAGCCAAGACGAGAAAAAGTGTTCCCCTTTCTCCAAAAGTCACTTGAGGAGTCAAGATCCCCGCCTAAAATGACTATTAAAAACAAAGTCACCTGAAAAATAAAAAATAAAAAGGAAAATTGCATGACATTCTGTCTTTGGATATCTGCTTCTGAAGCAGATTGTGATCTATTTTTACACCTGCCTAAATAGAAGATAAGGAAATTGGAGAAAGATGGTGGACTGAGGAGGAGCGTCAGTGGGGCTACCTGAGTTTCTCCATTAGGCACAGTAAGGAGGAGTGAGTGTTCTCCTGAGCAAGTAACGCTGCTGAAGGCAGCAGGGCCTGAGCTGTCCTGCCAGTGCTCCCGCCAGGAGAGAAGAGAGAGCAAGAGGCTACTGAGAGCGGCTCTGAGTGGGGACCCTCAGGGAGGGGAGAGCCCCGCCTTGAGGAGGCCCCTCGGGGTTCCCTGGTGTTCTCCATCCAGATGCCTGCCCACCCCCCATGGAGAGCATCTGGAAAAAGCAGGAGGAAGTGAACAGAGCAGGCCAAGCTGACCTTCTAGTAGCCAGGGGTCAAGACTCAAGTTCAGAGAGCAAAGGAGAGGTGACAATAGAAGATATAAATAAGGCTGCACTTTGATTTGTTTAATAACTGAAAATGGCCCAGAGGCTTTGCTGGGTTCTTTCCATGATGTCTTTAAGGGAATAAGATCCAGCGTCCCTCCAAAGCACCCGTCCAGATTTAAGCCTCTTTGCTAATCTTTGATACTCTTTCCTCTCGCCTTAGAAAAATGTTTGCTCCACCTAGAAAATGTTGATTTTGTCTCACTAGGTAAACTTGTGTTATATCATTGTATCATCCCCTAAATCTACAGTTGATGCCAGATCCTTTCACATGCCTATAGGGCTGAAACTGTTGCAATTAAGTGGCAAGAAAGGCATCTTTATTTTCTTTTTCTAGCTGTATGTCCTGTTCTTGACGTGATGAGCCAGTCACCCCACTGCCTGAATGGAGGAAAGATGATGTGGTTTTTTAAAAACGAAAAAAGGCAAAAAATCTGTTAATATTGCAAAAATCGTCCTGTCCCACGTGGAGATCATTCTGAAACCACAAATGACCAAAATTGAAGTTCTCCTGTGACGTCATAAGCACATCTAAGCAATCCTCGTCCACGTCTGTAAAGTAACTTTACTAGAGCAGATTGGTGGACTTGCCCGGCATGGGAAGAAGGCCTTCATGTCTTTAGTCACAAGAGGAGGATGTTCCATTGTCAATAACATCCCTGATCAGTTGGGGCAGAAAGCGGTTGGTTAGCATTCAGTACTGAGGCTCTGCAAAAACTGTGATAAATGATATATTTTATTCTCTTCATTAGAAGCAGAACAGTCTGTGCATAGCCTCCAACGTTCAGCGATTCCTGGCTTTGTCCCAACCCATTATGAAACGTTTTCTTTCCACTCGAAATAGGATGACACAGGAGGACAGGAAAGTGGCTGTGCCATTTTCAAGCCTAAATAATCTATTTTTGACCATTTTTTACAGTGATAGAGAAAAGTAGAATTTATTTATTTATTTGGTGGGAAGGAAATTATCTTACTCAATCTGTTTCATTCAGTTCTCTTAAATTTGAGAAGATAACAGGAAAAAGTTATCAAGGTCATTCTCTCCTATCTTACAGAGCCTTTATTCTTTTTTCTTCTTCCTGTTCTTCTCTGAGGTCAACTCTGTCAGTGACCAGAGACATACACACAGAGAACGGGGGGGGGGGGGGGGTTGAGCAGGGTTTGTGGAATATAAAGATGGGTGCCATTCCATGTGTCTTGTTTTGTTTATACCAACATGTGAAGTCTCTAAATGCCGCCCCCGCCCCCTACAGATACATGATCCCTGGAAGTATTTGAGGAGACTAGAGAATCAGAAAAGTTGGCTTCTAGATTAGGCTCTGATCTTACCCCTGTCCAGTCACTTTGAGCATGTCACTTTCTGCATCAGAGTCTAATTTACTCATTCTTGTCATTTAGATGAACTTTCTCGGTCCTCTCATAACTAGTTATTACTTGGTGGCTTTCCTGAATGTAAAGAAAACTCTTTGAGCTCCCCAGCTCATCAGATCAGTGGTAAAACATATTCTTTCTCTTGGAGTGTGAAAACGCAGTAAGAAAAGCATTCTGGGTGGATGCTGTCCTTACAGTTCTTATTTTCCTCTTTCTGACCCATCCTTTTAGAGTTGAAAATTCATAACTACTTCTCAAGGGAAACCCTGGGTGAGAGTGGATGCCTGTGTCATGTTTTCACCCTTATTCCAGGGACATAACTAAACCAGGGAAGTGTATCAACCAAGCTACTTTCTCACTGGCTGACCAATGGTCTGGGATTCCTCACTGTGACACCTGCCAAGTGTCTGTCCTCCTATCTCCCCCAGTCCAGGTTCCAATACAGAGGCTGAACTCCAGGCCCTGGACTCTCCAGTTTGAGGATGATGGAGGTGTCTATACTGCAGATCCTGAACCTAGGAAAGAATGGTCTTTAAAACCAAGGAATTAGAAGAGGGGCCTGCTGCCTTCACTTGTCTTCCTGTCCTTCACTCAACCATACTTAGAGCAGGAGTCAGATCACATCTGTATACTCTGTAAGGAAGTCACATCCTTAGTATGAGGGGCTATGTTATATTGAGTATATCAGTTTGCTAGGACGGTCATAACAAGGACCACAGATGACCTACACAACAGAGATGTGTTGCTTCACAGTTTTGGAGGCTAGAAGTCTGAAAGCAAGGTGTCTACTGGGTTGGTTCCTTCTGAGACCTGTTGGGAAAGGGTCCATTTTAGATCTCTCTTCATGGCTTGTAGATGGCCACCCTCTCTCTGTGTCTCTTCACGTTTATCTTTCCCCTATGAAGTCTTCGCGTACAATTTCCCCTTTTCTAAAAATACCAGCCATATTGGGTTAGAGCTCATCTTGATGACCTTATTCTAATTTGATTACCTCTGAAAAGACCCTAAGTAAAATCACATGTTGAGGTTCTGTGGATTAAGACTTCAACATATGAATTTTGGCACAATTCAACCCATAACCCTCTGTGATCACATAAGAGATTTCTTTGCTGTAAAGAATTTCTTATATTCAGTGAGCCCAAAGGAAAATGGCTTTGGGAGAAAGCAATGGCATCCTGGCTCTTGGCAAGTGAGTCTAGATAATTCCTGCCACATTTTGCTCTTTCTGTAGGATGGAAATGAGAGAAAGTTGAAGTAGAGAATGGGGTTCATAGAGGAAACTTCTAAGAGGTACCATACCTGGACCTTAAAAGTCTGCCTTGGGGGTGTGGAGACAATCTTATGTTTTTCCACTCCTAGGGATTATGTAATGTTACGACCACGGAGCCCAACTCCTTGGAAAGTGCTGAAAGACAAGAAGTAAGGATACTCTGTTCCCACCCCACCATTAGAGGAAAAGAGTACCTCATCTGATGTTTACAATTTTAGAACCAAGGCCCATAGTATCTGATTTCAGGTTTAAAGAACAATGTGACTAATAAAGTAGCTTTACCACCCATCCCTGTGGACAGAAATTCCAGTCCCCTGAACCTGCACCAGGTTACCCTGGAAGATACCACTGTGGATTACTGCCTTGTGAGAGATGCACAGTGGGACAGAATGCTGTATACCTGTTTCTCTGGCAGGGGAGGGGAGATAACCTCTATTTAAAGAGGACGTTACACATAAAACATGAGCTTCATGGAGGAAAATGGAAAAGAAAAGAAGAAGGAAAGGAGAAAAAATAAGGAAAAAGAAGGGTTCTGGTTTCCCTCAATTTTCCAACTGTAGCATATGCATTTCAGAAATGAATGAATTTTGAAAGTTTGCTAGAAAGAAACAATTAGTATATTTATTTCAATGTTTTCCTTGTTTGTCTAGACGGCTGTTATGTTCTCTATTTTTATGATTAAATAAGTTATAAATGAAGATTTAATAGTTTAAAATATTAAAGCAACTTGGGTGCCTGGGTGGCTCAGTTGGTTAAGCCTCTGACTTGGTTTCAGCTCAGGTCACAATCTTGTGGTTTTCAAGTTTGAGCCCCACATGGGGCTTTGCGCTGACAGCACAGAGCCTGCTTGGGATTCTCTCTCCCTCTCACTCTGCCCTTCCCCTGCTCATGCTCTCTCTCTCTCTCTCTCTCTCTCTCTCTCTCTCTCTCTCAAAATAAATAAATAAACTATAAAAAAATATTAAAGCAACTTTATGCATTTAGAATAGAAAGTGACCCTCCTTGATTTGTCCCTCACAAGTTCTCAATTACTGTGAACATTTTGTGAGCACATTTCAACTGCTTTGACTCATTTAAATACATATTCATAATAAACATACTGTTTAAAAACATAAATGGGACCACACTTAGATGTAAAATACTCTCATTTGACTGAATGTCAGAGAATTCTCTGCAAGTCAGAAAATTTATGTTTAATCCATTTCCGTAACTGTATAGTATCCTAATATAGATGTGCCATAATGTATTGACTAGTTGTAGTGAAGGATATTTAAATTTGTCTACTTTTTTTGCTGCTGCATACAACTTTATACATATTTTCTAAGGGTGATTCTGGAAAAAAATTCTCAGGCAGGTGGAATTTCTGGGATCCAGTAATAGGTAAATAACCCTTGTAAACCTTAATTAGTTTACAGTTCTGCTATGAGAGATGAGTACCCACCTCCTGACATTATCACACACACGCAATATTAATATTATTCATCTTCTTAACTCTTTGCCATCTGATGGGCGAGAAACGATATAAAAGGATTTTTCAAGAAAGTGTGAGTTAAGGGCAATCAGCACTTCTGGACTAAAGTGGCAAGAGGAGGGAGCAGTTATAGGAATCTGAAGAAAGCAGCTACAACTATATAGTAAAAACTTAGATTTCTTCTTTTCTGGTATAAGCATTTATACTCTACACTTTTCTCTATGCGTGGATTTTGCTGCAGTCGATGCATTTGATATTTAAAACGTTGTCATTCAGGAAGAGGAGGAGAAATGACTATTTCTCTGGCAATGCTGGGGTGGCTCCTGAGATGGCACTGTTTCCATTTCCACCTCCTACTCTTGGCAGATCTGTGCATGTGAGTGTGTGTGTGCGTGCGGGTGAGTGTGTGTGCGTGTGAGCGTATGACTTGTCTCTGATTGGCTGGGCTCACCCTGTTTCCTACAGATGCTTGAACATATAAGGTAGCAAAGCAGATTCTTTATCTTTTGAGCCCTTGTCAGTATTACAGACCCAAGAACGAGTTCTCAGTGGCTCTAAGTGACAGAAGGAATGGACAAATCCTTGAGTTTGCTCATCCTTTGGTTACAACTGGACTGTGAGTGAAAGGGATTTGGAAATGGGCAAAGAACAGACAGATCCTGAGCCGTTTCTCCTCAGGGAAGAGAAAGAAAGATAGGGGGCTGTACCGGTGTGATGTTCTATGTAGACTGAAAAAGTAAATTGGGAAGTAATTTCCCAGGAATAGTTAGCCGCCAACCCGTCCCTCTCTCTGTGTTCTCTTTCTGAACAGGCGTGAGCAGTAAACAGGAGGTGATGCAGAGTCCGGAAGCTCTGAATGTCCAAGAGGGAGACAGCGTGGTTCTCAACTGCAGTTACACCGGTAGCACTTTTTATTCCCTTCAGTGGTTTAGGCAGGACCCTGGCAAAGGACTCACAGTTCTGTTGTTGATTCAGTCAGCTCAGAGAGAAGAAACAAGTGGAAGAATTAAAGCCTCACTGGATAAACCGTCAAAACACAGTGCTTTATACATTGCAGCTTCTCAGCCCACCGACTCGGCCACCTACCTCTGTGCTATAGAGGCACAGTGCACAACAGGCTCCTGGCACCAATACCCAAACTCTGCAGCTGGGGCTCCACCCACGTGCCCTATCTTGAAGCTGAGGAATCTTTCTCCATCGAGGGGCTTTCTAAATTGACTCTTTTCCCAGATAGAAGCAATTAACTATGCAAAACCTGATCTATATATGTACACACACATATGTATGTGTATATATGCACATCTATGCATATGTATACATATATATGCACATATACGTATCTGCACATATGTATCTGAAGTTACATTTGATCTTTAGATTTTTATCAACTTCAACTTCAATAATAGCTTTGTTGAGATTAATTCACAGGCCAAACAATTCATTCTTTTAAAATGAATAATTAAGTGGCATCTAGTACATCCACTATGTTGTACAACCACCACCTCTATCTAGTTTCAAAACCTTGTCATCACCCGGAAAGGAAACCACATACCCATTAAGCAGTTGCTTACCATTCTCCCCTCCCCCAACCCCTGGTCACCTGCAGTCTGTCTCTATGGGTTTATTTATTCTGTTCATTTCACATTAATGGAAGTGTACAGCCCTTCATACTTGGCTTCTTTCACTTAGCACCGTGTTCTGGAAGCCCATCCAACACGAGACCAACTGCAAAAAGGCAGATATTCACCCCTAACCAATCACATAGGGTGCCCTATCTTTAGTTAACCTGTTCATGTCTTCTCCATTTTTTTCCTTGTTTTGCTAGAAGGTTGTCAGTTTTGTTGATCTTTTTAAAGAACCAGCTCTTTGTTTTATTGATTTTTTTTTTTTTACTGTTTTTCCATTTTCAATTTCACTAATTTTTGCCTTTATTATTTCCTTCCTTATGCTTGTTTTGGATTAGTTTTTCTCTTCTTTTTCTGGGTTTTTGAGGTGAGTGCTTAGGTGGTTGATTTGAGACTTTTATTCTTTTCTAATATTTGCATTTAGTGCTATCAATTTCCCTCTTGGCACTACTTGGGCCACGTCCCACAGATTTTGATGTGCTGTAGTTTCATTTTCATTCAATTCAGTATACACTTGATTTTCTTTGAGACATTCTCTGTGACCCTTAGATTATTAAGAAGTGTGTTGTAGGGCCCCTGGGTGGCTCAGTCAGTTAAGCGTCCAACTCTTGATTTCAGCTCCGGTCATGATTTGGCAATTTGTGAGATCAAGCCCTGAGTCCAGCTCTACGTTGATGTTTGGAGCCTGCTTGGGATTCTCTCTCTCCCTCTTTCTCTGCTCCTCCCACGCACAGGCTCATGCTCTTTCACTCTCTCTCTCTCTCAAAATAAATAAATAAACATTAAAAAGTAAAAGAAGTATGCTGTTTAGTTACCAAGTATTTGGAAATTTTCCTGTTATCTTTCTGTTATTTATTTACAGTTTTATTTCACTGTGGTCAGAGAACATGCTCTTTATGATTTTAATTCTTTTACATCATGTTTGTTGAGGTTTGCTTTATGGCTCAAGATACAGTCTTACTTGGTATGTACTTCATGGGCACTTGAAACCAATGTGTATTCTGCCATCATTGGCTAGGGTGTTGATGGGTAGAGCTGGCTACTAGATATGGCTGGTTGTGGTGTTATTGAGTTCTTCTACATGCTTGCTGATTTTCTGGCTAGTTGTTCTCTCACTTGTGGAGAGAGGGTATTAAAGTCTCTAACTACAATTGTAGATTTGTCTATTTCTCCCTTTGGTCCTGTCAGTTTTTGTTCCACTCATTCTTCAGCTCTGTTGGTTGGTGCATACACATTTAGGACTGCTATGTCCTCTTGGAAATTTATCCTTTTTATCAGTATGTAAGGCTCCTCTCTGTTTCTGGTAATTTTCTTTGTTCAGAAGTCCATCCACTTTATCTGGTATCAATGTAGCCATTTTTCCTTTGATTAATGTTCACATGATATATCTTTCTATCCTTTTACTTTCTTTTTTTTGTGTGTGGGTATGTGATTTGCAGTTTTATTTTATTTTTTTT